CCCCCCCCTCCGCCAACCTATGCTTACCTTGAGCTGTCTTGCCTAAGAACTGCTTGGGCGGCTCACCCGGGTCCAATCTTCCCTCCGCATCCGTTCGCTCGGCTAGCCGCTTGTGGTGCATGTACTTTTTCATTGCCTCGTACATGACGAACTGTGACGTCGACTCAGCCAAACCTGCAAACGTTCACATCCAGGTAAAGAAAACAGTCATGCCAGGGACAGACGCATACCTTACCGCGCTGCCTCCGCCAGGTTCCCCTCTCCCGTTCTTTAGGGCGAAATTTAAACAGGATACGTACCGAGAACACTGGCCGAAAGACCCTTGTACAATCCACGGATACCCTCCGCCCGAACCACCGAGTAAGCGCAATGGAAGCTGTTCCGGTATTGCTGAATCGCGACGTTTCGGGTGACAGCTTCGTTTTGCAATTGCTACAGGATTAAAGCGAGATGTTGAGAATCGGCCAAAATATTAGTGCTATCTGTCGAAAACACTTTCGGAATTCCGTCTCCTGCATTGGAACTTCTCTGTCGCCTTCTGCCCTCTTACTTAGAGCCACCAACCCCACCTCCCCACGCCCCAGCAAACCTACCATCCGCGTTTTCACAAGCCAGATAGGGTTCGTACAAGCGGCGGTGGTGAAACCAGCGCATGCAGCCGATACCAGGTGAACGGCGGAGCTTTCTTTCCCGCCATTCCACCCGGTAAATGCATGCTTACCCTGGCTATACACCGAGAAGTAGATTGCTCTGAGAGGCGGGGGATCAAAAATCGTTAATCAAGGAACACGGAATAATTACTAAGGGGCGCGTGTAAGGGTTCGGGGTCTTACCTGGCCGGGACCACGCCAATAAGGTTGGGGCCGAGCCCCTTCCAGAGAGCTCGGACACCCTCTTCTCGTCGAATCGCGCTTGAAATCCATCGAGGGTTAGAATAGGGACTTCTGAAGCCACTAGCAGACTATGACTCTCTATCACGCCCCTTCCTCAGCTTCATCCAGCGTGCGACGCCCAGCGGCCCACGCTCGCTGCCCCCCCCCCCCCCCCCCCCCCCGAATATAGGGGCTTTCTCCACTGCGGGGCATCGTTCGCCAGTTTTTCTGGGCCCCTCTGGTCCTACATACCCCAAAAGACCCACCACCCCCTTCACGTGCGACCATGCCCCTCGGATAGGGTGCCGGATCGAGAACTGAGTGCCGACCTCGGACGCTCGGTACTGGGAAGACTGCAATAAGATAAGGGAGCGAGTCAGCATTCCGATGAAATCGAGATTTCGACTTCGACTCGGTGTTTTATATAAAAATATGAGTTGGTTTACCTGCAGTCGCGTCTTTACAACTTCCAAGGGGCAAGTGATAGCGGCACCCACTGCGAGGAGGAAAATGGAGGGGGGGCGATTTAGCACACCGCACGATTGCAGTGGAGAACAAGATATCACTACCCTCATAACACGGCACTGGCTTTCTAAACGCGAAAACTCACCAGTACCACCCAGCCTGAACGTCAAAAGAGGCCGCGGGGGGAAAACGATTTCAGGCGCGGGTGAGACGTCAAGTCCTCAGGGGGTACGTGGGCAAGGCAACGCAAAATAGAACAGCACCCCACCTCCCCACTCCACCAAGGCCTCAACGTTGAGTCACGTGCAGCCAAAGTTTCCAGGGCCGATCACATGAAACTTGGCCTCCCCGTTGTGAACCTCCGAATCATCCCCAGGCACCCGTCAGGAAACCATACTCACCCTCCAGCAGCAAAATGCACGATAAAAGACGGTGCTTTCCTCCGCTGATCTACTTCCTGCTGAGGCGCAGCTTGTGCGGGCATGACGGCACGAGCGACCGTCTGCGGGGTGGGAACCTGTGTCAAAGCGGACATGGCCGATTTGCAAAGAGATGGATGTGTCGAGGGGCGGAGTCGTGCACGCGACCTTCAAGATTGGGGCCCCCAATGAAAGAAACCGATGTGTTTTCAATCTTGGGTTTGTGCTGCTTTGCTTTTTTGGACTTCGGTGGAAGCGGAACAACTGCGGACTCATTGGGCTCCGCTCCAAAGAGTCATACATAAATGGGACTTAACGTAAGCA